TTATAATATTAGCAATTAATCAACAGTATAACTTTAATATGGTTAATTAAATTGTTTGAAGTTTAGTGAAATAAAAGTTTACTTTATAACTAATTGGTAAGTTATAGTTTTTCTTTTATTACGTCTTCTTTTGAATGTTGGTGATCAGCTACTCTCACAACTGTCCACGATAACTTCAACCCGCAAAAGCAAAGTTAAAAGCTAATCAAAAGTCTGTTGCAAAAAATCTTATAAATGCAAATCTTAATGGATGGATATTTGTTAAAAGGTGCTATAAATATTGCTGAAATTAGTCATAGATGTAGAACATAGTCTGGAAGAACACACCGGCTACTATTTTTTTTAATTCTGCGAGGACGGAGTCGCGGGCGACAGGTAGACAATTATAAAAGAAAAGAATGTTATTATTTTAATAGTAAAGTTAGAAGTACGAGTATCTAGTTGACGTGTCATTAGCGGAGTACCTCGTTACTTTGAGCTTTAATGAGGTCATTACTAAAGCGCTTGTGTTTTTTTTAATTTATTTTATAACTCGGAATTTATACAGTTTAATATCAAGTACTTTGTCAAGGTCACTGCATCAGGTGGTTGTAGTTTTATTAATACCTAGATATGCCTACATACTTTTAACCCAAAAGAATATGTTTTCACAATAGAGAATAGACACGATTGACATACCTCTATCGCGTCCTATTATCTGTGTTATACTGTTTTTGTTATGGAACTTTATAAAATGATAACTAACATTAACTTCATTGAATGATAGAAGTATTGCAACAGAAAACATAAACCCTATCTAACTGTTTAGAGAACGGTTTATCCATTATTGTACTATCCCATGTAATTAGCTAATCCGAATCCAATAATCAAGTCAAAGATTTTCGGTTGGTTGGGTTTATAATCGGATTCGGCCGTAAATTAAATGCATTTATAGTTTATAGTAGACTCCGTTCGCGTGGATATATAAAAAAACTTAATAAGTGTAGCCCACCCATCCATCCACCCACATCACATCCATCTAAACATTCGCATTTATAATATTAGCAACTTAAATAAAAAGGAGCATTTTCAAAACATAAATTTGAAAAAAAAATTGAATAGTATCCTATGTCCGTCTCCTGGCTCTAAGCTACCTCCTCACCAATTTTCAGCCATATCGGTAAAGCCATTCTTGAGTTATAAATTGTGTAACTAACACTACTTTCTTTTATATATATAGATTTCAAGTGGAACTTAAATCGGTTTTGTAAAGAAAATTGTGTGCTATCACAATAAATTATTCAGTAACGAAACACTCACGTATTTTCTCTTTTTACAGTCGCGAAGACAATAAGAGGTTTGTCGAATAAAAGGAGCCGCCAATTCAAAGATAGCTTTATAGAAAGTATTATTTATTCAATGCTCTTCGACACTTTTGCAAAGAAGAAAAGATTTTTTTATTTGGAAATATTCAAATTTTCTTCATATTACAAATCTTCATCATAATCTAAAGTATATACAACACATTTTACTTTTTCTTCTTTGTTCTTAGTCTACTAATTATTATTACCAATAAGGTTTATTATCACTTTTTATATTATAAGGTGGCAAGCGAGCAAGCCTATCATAATTCGCTGAAATAGCGAAGCAACTACTAACCATAGACATCCGTAATTTTTGCGCGTTACCTAACAATCGTTCTAATCTCTAGTGCTTAAAATATTACTCAAATAAACTCTCAAGTTACATGCATACAGGAGATAAAACTTTATCAATATATCAACGACTGATTTAGAATTCAAGGCAACCCTTTTCAGAGCTGTCCCACACGGTTTCTAATTGTTCCTACGCGGTTTTAACTACCGGAAGTGATTATAAGACAAATCACCCTTAATAGTAGTTGGGGTTATAACTATTGTTTTTGTCCACCCTTAAAACTTTCACGTTAGTTTTAGTGACAATATGATTATTATTTAGGTTTTTAATATAATAGTGAGGTTACGTAAATTATAATATCAATAGATCTCCAGAAAATCTAAAGTAATCTTAACAAAACCATTAAAGTGAAGACCAATAATTGTCTAACATCGACGGTTTCCCTTTAATTCTTGAGGAAAATCAACTCCGCAGAAGAGAAACCGGAGAGATGAATGTAAATAAGAAAGTTTTATTTAAAATTCTTGTCGTGATTTCGTACGTGAGGGGAAGTTTAGTAACAAATTTTCGTAGACTTTGAAATTATTGCTTTATAAAATTTTTGGAGCTTCTATATTGTGGTTTTATGAATAAGATAAAAGGAAGTTTTTATTTCGTTAAATACATACGTTAGTTCTCATAATTATGACCTTTGTAGACCCAAAGAGACAGTTCTATTTAAGTCTTATAGTTAATTTTGAGAATAAAAATAAGATTTCATCTATATAGAAATAATAAAATTAATTTGTGTCATAATAATAAATTATACAATCTGAATGTTGCTAGAAATCCTCTCGTTTGTTCGTTAACCAGTTGCGTGCCGAATACGTGATCTGAATTGAAAATTAATTATATTTACAGCACATAAAATGGATACTACATCTAAATTTAATTTAATAATACGGAGATGAATTTTAAATAATAATTAAATAGTGATATAATAAACAAAACACGACCTTTAAGAGAAAAGAGATATGATTTTACTTAATGTTCTATGAATAAAATGTACTATCAATGCATTAGTACCCACATACCTTGTTGTGTAAAGTCAAATTCAATAGAACTGAGAAATTACAACAAACCAATCTAAAGAATTTTACCTTTATAAGGCTGTAATTACTTAACTCTATATTAATTATTAAGTGACTTATTAATTAATCTACCAAAATGATACTATAAACTATATATTAAAACTAAACCAACTATAAATAAATTGTACTCCTAACTTCGTATATTCACAGTTCAATTTTGGAGTACATACTACGACACAGACATCGGGTGCGGCATAATGTGATATCATTTTTTTGTATCTATGTTGCCTTAACGCATCTACATTTTGCATTAAGTGCATATTTTTACAAGCCAATTTATATGTTCTAATAAGCCAATAGGTGAAGTAAACATACAAGGTGTAAACAATGGAATATGAGTTATCATTTAAATATGACAATCTTTTATCACATCGCTTTCGTCATAAATTAATATGACGAGAGTCGCACGCAGATATGACGCGATTTGATGACGCATTTCATTTTCATTCACAAAGAACTTTATAGCGTCTGCAATAGAATATTCCTACTAACATTCTCGTTGCTTTTATATTCCTTCAGTGAATTGGATTGGGTAGTTTTGAATTCTCACTGCATTGATATTGCTCCACATTCGGTTTTGATTGCTTTGACACAATTTCTGTGTTCAATGTCATCATTGCAAGCGGATTGGTGCACATTTATCGACTTTCAAGTTGTGCTTTGTGTTTAAGTAGTTAGGTTAACACGTAATTGAATAAAAACATCAATCTTTACATATATAATTCTTCTGTGCGTGTGTATGTCACTGAACTTCTCTCAAACGACTGGACCGATTTTGATGAAATTTTTTGTGTGTGTTCAAGGGGATCTGGGAATGGTTTATATTCACAATTTTGTCCGCTGGACAATGTTTTTTTAATTGATTTTTAATTTATTACTAGTTGTTGATTTTGGAATGTTTTACCAACAGACGGCGCTACCATCGCAGTGTCAAATTTTAAATAATATATGCATTTTCAAATTAAAGACGTGTAGACAGGACAACGTCTGTCGGGTCCGCTAGTTACGATATAAATGTTCAATGGAAGTATTAATAAAAATGCTAAGCTATTTTTTTCAGAATTTAATGGATGCGTTATTTTTAAATAAACTTTTTTAACTTTGCTATCATGATTTAGGAGCATAACATAATATTTTAAAGTTATTTGACTTGCTATAAGACTTATAAACTTTGAAGCGCTTTAAACAACTGAGATATTTTAAAAACTTACAATTATTTTTACTTTACTATATAATATATTAATATAATTGTTATAAATTTTAACGTATATCGTAACAAAGTTTTAAATCCCAAAAGCCTTATTTCAAACTATTGTCAGTAAAATCATAAAATCAGATGTTAACCGTCCCCTTGACAAAAAAGTTCAGTAATAACATTCCTTCGGTACTAAGTTTTGAAGAACAATTAAGTTGACTGTGGAAATAGGTAGCAAATTTTCTTAGGCCGCCTAACTTAGTTGGTTCTTCGTAATTGTTTAAAATTAAGTTATTAAAATTATTATAACACCTTTTCTTGTAATTTACTTTGACATATTTTAAAAAACAGAGCACTCTTATTTCACAGTTTGGATTAACACACACTCAGGACACAAGGTCAAATTGACCTTTACTTAATTCCGCCCTCGAATCTATCCGCGCGGAATTAAAAAAAGCGTAATAACTAGCCTATGTATTCTTATCGGCTATGTTCTACATCTATGCCAAATTTCAGCTAGATCCGTTCAGTCGTTCCGCAGATATCTTCAAACATCCATCCATTTAAACATTCGCATTCGCATTATAATATTAGTAAGATAAAAATGTTAGTTAAAAAATTCCAAAACATTGTAATTTTTTAACTAACATTTGGGAGCATTTGCATTAAAACGTAATAAAAAGATTTTCAGGATGAATCTAAGAAAATTTTACACACGTATTGAGTCGAAGGTTCATAGTATCTTTCAGTGTGACCGTGACGTCCATGCGGGTTGGACGTCTTTTACTTTTACAGACTTATTTGTTTTTCATCCGCGCACGAACAGAAATGCTTAGCTGAGCTAACTTAGTCGTAAATTTACTATAATTGTAAAATGTAAATAATTAATGGAATTTTATTTTTAAATTGTGGTGTTTTAAAATAATTTAGTGTTTTATTTTTATAAACTATATTTCTTCAACTTAAAATTATTCTTGTAATTTAATATCTATTTTAATAAGTAAATAATTTTTTTTATTCATTTTCTAATGCATAAATTGGAGGTATTTGCGGTGTAATTAAAAATAAAAAACAAGTGTAGTTATTTGGATTTATCAACAGGTAAACATTTTGCGTTTGAACCTCAAGTGCTCCTCTAAATTATATATTTATAAATACATTAAAATATTTAATATTTTTACTATTATTATATAAGGAATACTTAATACTATCAGTATTTTAAGTATTTATCATAATTAAGTATTTTTAACACATTTTGACATGTAGAGGCGTTAGTATGCAATCCATCATTCACGGTTAAGAAGCTTATTTTATCTTTATTCACATTTCTCTCTCATTTAAAGACATTAATCGTGGGTTTCTGAGACCAAAACCCGCGTTTAGAATATATTGTTATCTCTGTTATATCAAATATAACGACAGGGATAATATGTTCAGAGCTTTTAGTTTCAGAAATCCACGGTAAGACATTGTATAAATTAAAATTGGTAATAAATTACACGTACAGTTAACACACATTTATAAGTTAACTTGGCATTGGTATTGTTTGATTGTTCGTTGTAATAAAATTTAACTATAATAGAATCGGTGTTACGTACTACGTCCTTTTTAAGGAACATATTTAAAAAAAAACTTGTCAATTCGACGCCGAAAATATTAAGAGATTACGATATCGGACTTAATAAAAAATAAACAACATTTATAAAAGTTGATATCAATTTTAATTATTTTCGTCCTCGTTCTACTCTCGAAGCAAACATTTCATAATATTCATTAACTCTACATCTCTCATAGACATTTATTAATAATTTCTAACCTCTTAATTTTACTTAATCAACACTATGAAAATTACCAAGCATTGATTACTATAGTACTATAGAGAAGATTTTTTAATTAATTACACTGATTTTATATGCCTTTTTATTTTTCGGATTAAAGAATATTTAAAGTATACAAATTGTCACAATATGTCATCATCAACCTGCCCTTATCCCTATCGAGGGTCGGCACAGTATGTACCACTCCTCCATACATCTCTATCAGCCGTCATATCCGAGTCTACCCCCTTCTTACGCATATCCTCTTTCACACAGTCATTCCATACTCTTTTTGGTCTTTCTCTACCTTTGTAGCCATCCACATTCAATCTCATTACTTTTTTGCTTATATCATCAATATCCCTCCGCATAACATGTCCAAACCGCTAATCTTTTACTCCTAAAATTGTCACAATGTGTATAGAATTAATTTACATTTTAAAATTAGTTTGTTCATTCAAAGTGTAAAGCGTAAACGGAAAGGTAAACAATGAAACAAATTGTTTAATTAAAATGAATTAAGGCCGACATTTTAATTTAGTACGTTGTTTTATGTCTGTAACCCCAGTATACAATAGGCAAGCAAAGTTGCCTCGTATTAAAGTCGTTAAAAATACAAGCTAACTACAGACAAGTTTGAATAAAGCTACGTTGCCTGAAATTTAAAAAAAATTAAAAACATTTCAGTTTAAAACAAAGTATACTGTAAAATATTAACGTGGTTTTTCAGTACCTATATGTGTGCTACAATATTTTATCACAGTTTTTCTAAAACAATAAGAAAGCTTATAACATTTGTTTTGGCAGTGGAGACCAACTCTAAGACTCGAATATTGGCTCGTAGGTTACATTAATTAAAGAGTTTTAACAATATCACATTATTGCTCGACTGTCGACGAAGGGCCCTGACTGTACGTCTGTTTGTCAAGTTTTTTCTCTTAATTCTCTGACAAACCAATATTAAAATGTCTGTATTAAAACAGTTAGAAATCGTTAAAATAAAACATAACCATAATCAAGATTAAAGCAAGTTATAGGTTGGTTTGTGGTTGCTGTTGCTTTGATTGTGTGGTCTCTATGTACCACAGATTCTACTACTATAGAATTTTCAAGATATCCAAATAAAAGTGAACACGAATTTTAGGTTAGTCCAAAAACTATTGTACTGAAATTGTACTTTAAATGTTTGTACTCTAACCTCATTATATTTTTTTCTGAAAGAAAGACACGATGGAATTTTGTTTTTATTAGTATTGTCTGAAAATAAAATTGGTAAAAAATTGTCAAATATACTTTAACAAAAAAATATGTACGAATGTAAAATACATTTGAAATTTGTTCGGTTTGAAGGATTTTCGGACGGTATAATTTTATTACAAATCAGGATAAAAAAAGGTCGGACCAGCTGGAGCTATTTCGTATCATTTGCTTTACCAGAAAATGGCTTGAATGAGAATAAATTAAATAAATATTCACACTCTTCTATCAAAATTTAATGTTTTTATGTCTTACAAATTATTAAATCTAAGTACACTGTTCCTAAAAAACAAATAAATAAAGTAAATTAACAAAGTGAAATTGTACTTTAAGAACATGCATGTTGACGCAGCAACACGGAAATGTACGCTAAAAGCAGTCACATTACTCAAAACTTAAAAGGTCAGAGTTTACCAGAAGAAATGCCGGTTTTAACAGTTATAAGAAATTTTTATATTTTAATTTCTTAGTCAGTGGTTTATTTTTTTAACTTTATAATTATAATTCTAAAAAGTGCCATTTCAAGCGTAAAAATACTATGTTACTAGCTGTTGCCTGCGACTCCGTCCGCGCGGTATTAATAAAAAAAAACTTAACTAGTGGCCTATGTGTTCTTCAGCCTAAGATTTATATCGGTGCCAAAATTCATGAAGATCCGTTCAGACGTTCTGCAGATACATTCAAATAAACATCCATCCATCCATCCGAACATTCGCATTAGTAAGATTAAATAATATTGACGCTTATCTTTTATCCACAATAATATATAAAAAATACATATATTTAGTATTTGAAATGCACTGTATCCAATTAATAAAGTCCTATTTGTAATTTCATTTCCATTTTCTCCACAAACCAAACGACATTTTCTCTTTTGAAAACGAAATTTTCCTTAAAGTTTCGAAAGTTAATTATTTCTGAATAATGTTTCTGCCACTGTCCAACTTACCGGAGTTCCGGAAGGTTTTTAAGTTACGTATTGTAATCGACTTCGTGCAGGAAAACATTTATATGATTAGAAAATGTACATTTAAAATATGAAAATGTATAATACATATAATTAAAATGCACAATTTATTTGACGACAAAATGGGATACTTGCATTCTCTTATATAATCTATATATTCTATTCCGTTCAACTGTTTTTCGGATATGAAATCATTCTATTAATATCTTTCTCATTTAATTTTTACATTTACTTTATTTCATTACACCACCAATCACGTATTCATATATTTAAACGCTAGCCAACATTTTCATTCATTTCATTTAGTCTCAAAAGCCAGTTCCTCATTCTTGGTGCTTGTTATAAACAGCCACAATTACTAAACACCGATCTCAAAGGCGTCAATAGCCTAATGGTTAAGGGTACGGATTTCCGATCACGAGGTCGGGGGTCGAATCCCGCCATTCGACTATTGTCGTAAACCATATCCTAGCACAAGCCTAGAGCTTAGTTGGAATGGTAAAAGAAACATTAGTAAATTTACGAAAAATCTGCTAATATTTAATTAAAAAAAAACATCCCATCCCCACAATTGGAGAATCATTACGGATTGGCAATATCATTCAATATGCTTTATGAAGAAAAACCAATACCAACGCCAATCACTGACACAAACAGCAAACACCAAACAAAAATAAGGCAAACACCTATTTCATGTTTGTTTAGTATTCGATGTTGGCCGTTGTTTGACAAGCTTGAGGATTCGACTTTATTATGTAATATTTGCAGTGCGGAGTGATGTAGCGTGATGTACAGCAACGAGAGTACAGCGGGCGAGGTTGAGGACACACCGACACAGGACCACCTCGCTCTGCTCATTGTTCTGTACGTCTTTGTCTCAATAATAGGTATAGTGGGTGAGTGTGCAACTAACCTTATGTTTTGTTGTTCATAGACTTTCTACAAAGAGATTTTATATGGCATTTTTTTATTAAAATTTCTCATTCATTGCATGTTTTTCGAATTCGTTATTTAAATTTTCACGTTTATTCTAGTTCATACTCTAACTGACCTAAATTCCGATACATGTTATATTGATATTGTCATCTTCAATCACACCATTTACTTGTCACTACAAGCTTTGTATCATATTTTTGCCACATAAAAATCCTCATAAATCATGTAAATACGTTATGACTTCGCAATAATTCGCTCTGGCATTATTCCATATCATTACATTATTTGGAATTCGTTCAAACATAAAATTAAATTGTACATATATGTTACAATATTCATTCATAATCGTATTTTAATAGGAATAGTTGGATAATTTTGTGAAGATTTATAATAGATTTTTGTCTGGTTGGTTTTTAATGTCTTTTTCTGTTACCAGGCAATGTGAGTTTAATGGCGGCGCTGGCGTCGAGCGGCGCGTGCCGGCTGCGAACGCCGCAGCTGCTGAGCGCGTGCGCTGCTGACCTATTGGTATGTGCAGCAAGCGCGCCGCTCGCCGCCGCACGCGCCGCCCACCTGCACCGCCTGCCTTGCCATGTCACACACTATATAGAAGTAAGATCTCGATATCGTAATTTGAAAAGCGTCACAAACAATAACTACTTTTATTACTTGACGTGACAACGTGGACTTCCAAAATGTATAGTATATGTGTATGTAGTATGAACATGTATGTGTTGTGGCAGTCATTCCCGGTGGCGGCGAGCACGCTGTCACTGGTGGCGATGGCGACAGACCGGTGTGGCGCGGTGCTGCGCGGCCGCGAGAACCCGCTATGTGCAAGGCCTTACGTCGCCGTGGCCGCAGTGTGGGTGGCCGCTTTTATACTCGGTGAGCACTACTTTATCGTATGATGAGGATACAGAATTCAATATTAATCTGTTTTTATTATGGAGATAATTTGTTTGCAGGCGCCGTGATGATGATAGCGACATGCGTGTCGTGCCCCCCACTTGCGGCGGCGCACGCCGTTGTCACGTACTGCATTCCGGTGGTGGCGGTGATGCGTTGCCACTGGGCAGTGCGCGTCAAGCTGACCGCACTCTCGCTGACGGCACGCGCGGCACACGGTGAGCTGCCGCTGCCCGTTCCGCTCATTCGCCGACCCACGCACGTCATCATTGTCGCCGGCGTCGGCCGGGAGCGCCGCGACGCTGTCGACGTCGGCGACACCAGAAGCAAAAAGAAGCTCCAACCTAGCCTACTTGGGCCACAACCGCAAACCTCGACGCTGCGGTCGCGGCGACGGCTCGGGAACGTCCTCGTCGCGATCAGCTTAATCTTCGCAGCGTGCTGGTGTCCACACGCCACCTTCGTTATATCCAGCGCATTTGGGGTGCGCGTGCCAGCCGCCGCAGCACAATACGCACTGCTACTGGGACACGCGCACTCAGCGCTGAACGCAGCCGCCTATTGGTTGCTGAACAGGCACGCGCTGACGGCGGCTTGCGTGGCATGGCGCATGCCGCAGCTGCGCGTGCGGGAGGAGCGGCCTTCTTCCACCAACGAAGCGGCGCTGGGCGCGTTCCACCCGCGGTTGGCGCGCCCGGCGCCTTCGCCGCGACCGCCGCCTTCTAGCTTTTTATATTGAACTCCTTTATCTTCTAAGCTCTATCGATCTGTGATTCCTGTCTCTCAGTGCCTCGTAGACTACGGCCAGCCCCGCACTCCGGGGAGCCGCTCGTTTCGTCGTTATAAACGTGGTTGTTTGAGATTTTATGGAGAATAATAATATCTGTGAAGCAATAAAATGCATGAAACACTCTTGCTAGTTTTATTATAGCTAAACCATAAAAGTTTTCATTTACCTTTTCCAAAAGCTATACTCATCAGGAAATTATACTCTTCGTCGGGTAATAATATACCTGATTTTTTTTTAAACTAATGACTTTTGTTTTACTTCTGTTTTCTTCTACTACAGAAAAGGAGAGGATAAGTGGCTTTTACATGAGATCAACAGAAATTAAAATACTTATACTGAATGGTACTGGTACATCGCGTCAGTATTCCTCCGACTCTATTATTGATGAAGTGATGGATAAAAATGTTGTTATAACATATGCAGATATCGAGTTATTGTACTGAATTCTGTATATCTTATTAGAAAGTTTATTTACTAAACTTTTACATCAAAAAGTTGTTCATACTTTCTGTAACTGAAGACAAATCAAATTTTCCTATTCACACAAACGAATTCGTTGATTGATTAGTTATCAATTCACTTTGATTAATCAATGTTTTAATTTATTCGTCCGTCAAAAGAAAATTAGAGAATTTAATTTATGTAAATATTATTAATGAATGAAGTGAATATATTAAACTACAGTTTAATTAAGAACCTTTAATTATTTAAAACACAGTTATATATTCTTTAATACGGTGTGAAAAACTTTTAGAGCGTGTTCTACATCTATGCCAAATTTCATTGAAATCCATTGAGCCGTTGTGGAGATATCTAACAAACATCCATCCAAACATTAAACTTTCCCTTTTACAATATTACTGAAAAGAAAGATTAACAGGACTTTATGTTTATTAATATCGAAATTACACCTGTCGCCATGATATCACAACTCACTAATACGCTACCGGGTTGTTAAAAAATAGCTACAAACAATTGGATACGCGCATATTTGTCATAAAACAAAATATCTTTCAAAAATATTATACTATCCAGTATCCCCTCGTTTAGTAAGCCGGGCGCTTGAGGGTTAAATATTTGCTTTGATGCCTCACAGAATAGGTAAACGTTAGTTTTGCTTTATTTCTGTCGACACACAATGTAAACACAGAGTTCTGTCATTGAAAATACAAGAGCTTTTTTTTTCTTTTTCATTAACATTTTAATTTATTAAAAGTATGGCTTTTTTGTCCCAGTATTAATTTTTCATATCTTTAATGGAAACTTTTTTAAATAGTGATCGTCAGTTTACTACTGTCTTAATTATTGTAGTAAGTGTTAATACTGTCGCCCGCAGCTCCGTCCGCGTGGATATATGTATAAAAAAAAACTTCATTAGTGTAGTCCACCCATCCATCCATCCATCCATCCATCGATATCACATACGTCTAAACATTCGCATTTATAATATTAGTGAGTTAAATAAAAAGCAGCTCTTCAAGGCATAAATTCGAAAAAAAATAATCAATAGTATCCTATGTCCGTCTCCTGGCTCTAAACTACCTCCTCACCAATTTTCAGGCATATCGATAAAGCCGTTCTTGAGTTATAAACAGTGTAACTAACACGACTTTCTTTTATATATATATATAGATTATTACTTCAACATAAAATTACGTAGAGAGAAATCTACGACCATTGTCTGTGGGTTTCCAATAGTTAGTCTATATCTTCTGTGACCATTTAAGCACTTTAAGTAGTAGTAAATTTAATTTTTCGTGATATTTATATTATTTTCCCAGTAGAACCTTTTCATGTATCATCGTCATCATCATCTCCGTGACCTAATCCCATTCTCGTACGGTTATCTCACCAGTTTTCTTCCTTCAATCTATTTTCCATCATCTCAGTCATGTTACGCATTTCACGCATCCATCTTTTCCTAGACCTACATCTACCAGTGTACCCTTCTACACTTGTAACTTAAATTCTCCTTTACGCTTTAGGTTCTTCTCTTCCCATAACATGACATTAACTGCCCCAAATAATATTACCATTTATGCCAGATGGAAATCACACCACGGATTTAACATTTTTATCTTTTATACACATGATGTAATCTTTTTTAATGGATGTATGATCCTTTTAAATTAGGATGTCATTAGTGCAGGATTTATGCAAGATCCCTTTGGATTAACGCACGTCACGTTCATAGTAATCACGTTTAAAATGAATTTCATACGATTTAAAGGATTAGAGCATTTCAATTTAGAAGAATTATTTTAACTGTCAATAATTTTCAGAACTTTTTACTATAAATTTTGGTTTTAACTTTTTGAATTTCTTTTTTCTTTTAAGGACTAAAAGAAAGGAATAAAAGACAATATTTTATAAGATATAGGGTGCGCAAATAAGTTCTCGCTGTTTGTCAATAGATGGCTCTACTACTCTAATATATCAAAGTGTAATTTGTTAGAAGCGTAAAAGTCTTCACAAGTGCCTTTGTCGGCATAAAACTATTATAAAAGTTTATTTTTAAAAGATGTACAATTTTCATTTTTACGAACATTGTTTAAAGCTTTTTTATAAAGAACGCCGTCTTCTTATTCAAGAGTTATTGAATAATATTAAAATTCCTTATTTAACTTAGCTAAATCTTATATATAAAATTTTCGTGTCACAATTTTCGTTCCCATACTCCTCCGAAACGGCTTGACCGATTCTCATGAAATTTTGTGAGCATATTGAGTAGGTCTGAGAATCGGCCAACATCTATTTTTAAATCCGCTCGGACAAAGTTGCGGGCGACAGCTGGTAAATTATAAAATACTAGCGGACCCGACAGACGTTGTCCTGTCTACACGTCTTTAATTTGAATAAATTAATATGAAGTTAATATTTGATGAAAATTGTGAATCTAAACCATTCCCAGATCCCCTTGAACACACACAAAAAATTTCATCAAAATCGGTCCAGTCGTTTGAGAGTTCAGTGACATACACACTCACAGAAGAATTATATATATAAAGATTAAACATGTATAATTTTGGTGGTCGCTGGGGTCAGTGTCGCTAGAATATTAATTAAATATTAACAATCAGAAATTATTTTTTAAAAAACAATTTTTAAAATTTCTAATATCACTGGTCAGTATTCAACCACCTTTAGTTGAAATAGCTTTACTTTATTCAATTTCAATACATTTTTTCATTTAGTTATGATTGTATGCGCAAGCGCATGTACCAGCATAAAAGTTATTATGTTCCTAATACTTATAATTTAAATCAAATTATTGATTAGATATATTTTTAAATTATTTAGGAAAAAATAACAGTTGTCTACTAGGTATTATGAATTTAATAGTATGGAGACGCAGAGGACGCTGTTGCCTCGCATGGGCAACAACGTCCTCTGCGAAATTATCAACGCTGCGAGATCCGAGGTTGTGCTATCGCGCATGCGTCACCCCACCAGCTGCATGAGACCCACAGGGGCAGGAGGACGGGGAGCGGGGAGCGGGGGAGCCTCGCGTTACTCGCCAGTCCGTCGTCATATTCGATTCCTGCAAAAATGATAAATGCAATTTCCAAATAGACGTAGAGACTTCGAGTTAATAATGTAGTTTTATACAATAAATTCAATATGTTTGTTACAAACCATGTAAGTATTACAGATTATACAAACCTAAAACATGAAATTAGATAAATTCTTTTTTTTATATCATAAGGTGGCAAACGATCGAGCGGCCATCTGAAATCGCTGAAATAGCAAAGTGACCGTTGCCCACAGACATACGCAATCGCATATGCGTTGCCTACCTTTAATTGACAGAGGAGAGGATACACAGAAAGAAAATATTTTTCCTTTCCATGCATCCTCTCATCTGAAAAGTCCACTTCCATTTCCCATTTTCCTTATAAGAATAAGGGTGGAAGGGTTAAGAGGACTAAATTTGGTCTCGGGGACGCACACTTATCAGACAAATCTCTCTTTATATGTAACAGGATATTTACCTAAATGACATTAGTTAGTAATGCTAATCTCAGCTATGTTTATCCAAATAATTGCATTAATATAACTAATACATATTGAGGTGTATATCAAATTATTAACATTGTCAAAATGCAAATGATATTGAACAAACTAACCGCAATGTTCATATCATTTGCATTTGTGAAAATCATTCGCAATCTGTATTGCGGTAAATTTTTCACATAAAATATTTATTACAATATCATTTCAGTTATCAATATGCGTTAGAAAAACATAAATCAATGGATATTTGCATTTTTATTTCGATTTCATTGTAAGTGAAGAAAGGAGTGTCTGTTATTTTTGTGTCAATTTCGATTAATTTTTTGACCTAAACCTACATTAATGCACAGTTCTGTATAACAATAGTTAAGTAACTAAACCATATTTTACGAGCAATGTTAACTTTTATAAAAAAGACTTATCTTCTTTTTTTAAATGACCATGCAATATCGTATATTATTTGATTGATAATTTTATGAACTTTCAAATGAAAATGAAATTAATCCTCCAAATCCAAATTAAACTATAATCCATGTTTAATTAAGTAGAAACCTAAATCGTTAAACTAAGCAATTCGCTATGAAATGATTTCAGTTTTTTGCAAAGTTTAGAGTAAGTTATCAAGTCAGTATCTGGGCACAATTCCAACTGACCTTTATATCGTAAATCCTAAGTACTTGGTTTACGTAATTGCTTCAACATTATGAAGGAAGTCGTAAAAAGACTCTTAATGTCGGTTTGATAACGTTCGGTCAAATTAGTTGATACGTGTCCGGTAAGGGAGCTAAAGCTTTACGACTGCCGCACGCCGCGCAATAAAGGTGTTTGGGTCAGCTAAATGTTTTATGACGTCATATTGACCTTTTATTATAATGCATTTTTATTTTTACCATTTCTTACGTGAAAATAATAATTAAAAGCAACAGAATGATGGAGGCGATGAACATTACAACAGACGAATTAAAACCTCCTTTTGTTCCAATTTTTTATTTT